GATATATTCATGTCCAGCCTTGAAAGAACAAAGTTGAAGCATGCAATCGACGAAACAACTTCCTCATGTCGATATGTTGATGATATATTTATATTGTGCAAAAATGAAAGTCATGCTTCGCACTTACTAATATTATTCAATGATGCGCACGCCAATATTGAGTTCACTATGGAACATGAAAGTGACGGAAAGTCTCACTTCCTCGACATCGCCATGGAACGCCTAGAAGACGGTAGTCTTCAGAAGTCAATTTATCGAAAGTCTACATGGAAAGGACAATGCTTTTGTCCAAATAGCTTTAAACTTGGTCTAGTCAAGACTCTGTACTATAGAGCGAGGAGAATATGCTCTATAGAGAAACTAGAGGAAGAATTTGAGTTTCTTGAAAAGACATTGAAGAGCAGTGGGTACCTTCAAAGGTTCATCAACAAGTATGGAAGATCTGAAGTCACAAATGTAAAACAAATCACAGTAATAAAAAAGCCAACCTGCATTCAGCTTGATTATAAAGGTGAAAACGTTGCAGCGATGATCAACAGAAGGCTAAGCACATCACTAGCCATAGCCTATCCTGCACCTAACCTCGTTCCCGTCTATTTAACAACTTGCTCTTTGGTGCAATCAAAAATCGATAGATATCCTTCTCATGTTAACTCCAACTGTATATACAAGTTTACGTGTACCTGCGGGAGTAGTTATATTGGAAGGACAGAAAGAAGGGCATATCTACGATTTTCTGAACATGCACCAAAGAGCTCATGTCAAAAAGGAACAAATGCTTTAAACAGTGCCATCGCCAGGCATCTCCTCGACACGGGTCATGAGGTGGACGTCGAAAAGTCGTTCAAAATTATTAGTAGGCAAAAGAGCTCAATTCTCCTCAAGTTTGCTGAAACCACTTCCATCAAGCGCCTGAAATCTGATTTATGCATTCAGAAAGAAGTGGTTATCAGTATTTCTTTGCCCTGGTAACTAGATATTTTTCATCCGAATGTGAGATGCTGAAAAGTTTTCATTGTGTATGATTGTTATTGTTCGGGATAGTGTTTAATATTGCATATAGATATGTATATGTTATTTGTGTGCGCGTATATTAATCGATTGATTTTTGTCTAAAATGAACTCTGTGCAAGTATGTTAAAATTGTTTTTGTAGATATATTTATTAATGTTTTCGCCCTGTAAGCAGCTGACGAGAAGGTAACGAAATAAAAGATGGTACTATTTCATTCTGCTAAAACTGTATTTTTTGCTTTGTTCAAATTCATTAAGGGGAATAAATGTATGAAACAACAACTTCCTTTTAATTATCCTGCCAGACAACGCCGTTTCAACTACAGGCAGCAGCATGAATGAGGATGTCGAAACCAGCCAAGATCAGAGGGACAAGGCACAACACCTTCATCACTGTCAAATCTCCTGCATTCCACCATAGGATAAACAAAATATTCCGATTTTCGAAACTGATGCTTAGTCAGTCAGTCCTTCTATATGGGTCAGAAACGTGGTGCACGCTTTAACAGATTACCACATACTTTTAACAAAAGCTGCTTTCTCCGGATCCTTATTGAAGATCAAATGACCAGGCTGAAAGAATTCACAACAAGAAATTCAGGGAAAGGAACGATCAAGAACCTATCGCTCAGCAAACATGCCAAAGAGAATTGAGATCGATGGGGCACACTCCGAGGAGGATTTCGAATGAATCATAATGGAAAACGGTGAGTTGTGAGTTAGTTCAAGAGTGACATGGAAGACATCCTGTGAACAAGAGATGGTAGCCGAACTGGAATCATGCGGCCAGCTAAGGAGGGTCTCAGAGAATAGGAGAAAGTGGAGACATGCTGTTGAATCCCTATGTTCCACCCATAACCATATGAATAATAATAATAAATATATGTCTTAATGAAAAGTTTTCATAAATATTTTTGAATACAATCTGATAAACCTGATCAGTCTCTATATCCTGCAACATATATTTTATGCACTAAATAGTTCATAATCTGCTCACATCGTATAAATTTGCCATGTTCATCAGGGTAACTTAGTAGTACTGTCAGCCCTCACAAATGTGAATAGAATTCATCTGACGCAACCACATCTGTGCTATAGCAAGGCGGACTACGCTGAGGTGAGGAGGCTTTTGTATAACGCAGAATGGCCCTTAACACTGGATGAGTTATCTATGGGTGAACACTGGAAAGTGGTAAAAGAGATTACTCATACAGAAATTATTGTTTCCTTTAATCTCTAGAGGAACAGAAATATCGGATACCGTCCCTTTAGTCACAACACAGCCCAAAAGGAAGTCATCATGGCTGAAGAGAGGTACGCAGCGCACTCGCGAGCATAGAAGAAGCCTTGGTCTACGTGGCGAATACCCAAGAGTCAGACCGACGATGATACACAAACTGGACCCACGGACCGGTCAGAAGTGACAGGAGGTCATTTCAGTCTAATCTCGCCAAAAATCTCACGGCGAACACCAAAAGCTTGTACTGATTCATGTTGGAGAGATAAACAACCAACCAGGGGGCATGCGCCTCAGTATCTCACCAGTCTGGAAATGGCTGAAACATTTAGTTCGCCCCACGTCAAACAGTTAAACAGCAATGTCGGTATTACTGGTATGCACCAAAATAGCGACACCACTAGTTCACCTCAGGGAAACCAAGTGTCTACTCTCTAGATAAACCAGGCAATACTACTACGGAAGCTACAGAGACCCACATCTAGGAAGTCACCAGGTCGCGACGACATCAAGCCATCCGTTGTCAAATAGTGCGCCGGAGCTCTCTGTAGGCCCTTATGCGGCTTGTTCCAACACTCGATCTATTCGGGGAAACTGCCAAGGGAGTGGAGGAAGGCAATCCTTTTCCGATTTTCACGGGTAGGGACAGTTATAGACTCCTGGTGGTGTCAAAAGTACTGGAAAGTCTAATTGATGGTCACATTAGGGAGCACCTTGGTAGGAATAATAGACTCCATCATGGTTTCAGGAAATGCGGATCCCGTGTAACAAACCTACCCTCGGCTTGAGACGATTGGGCATTATGCTGGGATACGAATATTCCAATCCACGAGATCTTCATAGACTTTGAGGAGGCATTTGACACAGTTCAGCATGACCTCCTACACAAAGTAAGTCAGGCAGGCATAGGTGAGCCGCTTCTGTCATGATTGAGGGACTGCTCAGATGAAAGAAAATTCTGCATTTAGGCCAATCGAGTTCGATCATCTTGGCACAGCTCGTCACCAGGAGCGTCGGAGGGCTCTATCCTAGGTCCATTGATGTTTTTGATTTTTATCAATGACCTACTATGCCCTCTAAACTGCCCCTCTCTTTCAAACAATGAAGACATAAAGATTTGGAGAGCAATAAAGTGTTCGGAAGACTCAGATAGGCTGCAGGCAGGCCTACAGTTTTGAAGACTGGGAGATGGCCAGTGGTATGGCTTTTAACCCGAGAAGTGTAAAGTAGTGAAATAACACACATGTAGACTGCAGAATGCAAGTTACGCCCTGTACAATGCAAACTTGTCCTGCGCAACGTCGGAGCGTTACTTAGGTCCAGTTCTAACGGAGAAAATGGACACAAGTTTGAATTACACAGGGACGTAGCGATGGCATGTGCGATTTTACACTTTAGACAGTTAGGCGCTCTCATTCCTGAGCTCTTTCTATGGTTGCACAAAACATACGTCAGACCACACCTTTAAGTGCATTATATTATTGCACCTCTTCGGAAAAGACCAAAGACTGGAGAAAAAGGAGTGGTGGGTCTCCGAAATAAACCATATGATGCAAGGCTAAAGAAACTAGGCGTATTTTTACTTGGCTACCGTTGGCTTAGGGAGGATTTGATTACTGTCCACAAGATATCGAATGACTAGAATCACCCAAACAAAGGTGTTATGCCATTGAGTAGGTATAGGCTTCCTCGTGGAAATCCCAAAATGATAGCTCACCAGAGGGGAAGGACCCGGGTGCAATCCCACTTCTTTTCACTGTGGGTTTGCCGTTCCTGGAATTCATTACCGGCAGATGTAGCTATGGCACCGTTTGTGGACGCCTTTAAGCGATGGCTGGACAATCATGCAGCGACACAAGGACTGCGTCCAAATGGCCTATCCCATTAATATCCCATAAACCATTCGAGGGTTTACAACTAAGTTCGTCGTTTTACTTCATTACATCCTCTCCCGTCTTACTCTCCTGACAACTCCAACTACACTTACTATTATTATCACTGATATATATATATCAAATTCAAATTTAATTAGCTGTCTATTTTTACGTTTTCTTTATTTTTTTTTCTGTTTGTTAGTCTGAATAACTTCACTAATTATACCTATTATTATTATCATTTTTCTTTTGACGACGATACCGTAGGACTAACTGACAAAAGGATCAACTACATTCAGGGTAGCAACAAAGTCTTAACACACCGCATAATACAAACCCCATATAATTAATCCAAGCACTACTCCTTTTGGAGTCAACCAAAGCTGCGACAGTCGAGTGGCCGGACAAACTACACAGAAGTTTGCCAAAGACAAGTAGCTTTTGCCTCACAATCAATAAGCGAGCACAAAGAGATCAAATTAGTTTACAATATCTTGTAAAAAACCACACTGGATATTGAAATATAGATTTTATACCCATATATCCTTATTCTGCCACTACTTCCTCAATATGACGTATTCTTTGAGTGTTTTCAATTCATATGAGGTTGGTCAGTAATACAGTAGCTCCGATTCTCAGAGGCAACACTATATTGGAGAGAATCATGCACTTCATTAGAGATCAACTGAAGTCCATTCCCGGAGTGCAGTCAAAGGAGCCACAAAAAAAAAGAACCTAAGTACTGGAATTTACCACAGATGCAGAAATGTCCATCAGCTATCAGTTCTCAAATATTTTTGTGAAAGCCCATCAATAATATATTAAATATTGGATATTTTAGTTGATGAGAACTTACAGGCATCAGTTTGTTTAACCATGTCATTACTGTAAATAACAATTCAGGCAGTTTTATGAATTCGTTAGATGTTGTATCTCTGTGGTTTATTTTTAATACACTCAGTATTGAGTTTTTCTACTCCTATCAGATGGGAAAAACACCACACACAAGCAGATATTAAAAGTATTTTGGAAACAGTAGCAACAAAATGTCCCGATATAACTAGTTTATATCATTTAACGTCCGGCGACATACATACTACGGAGAATGGGAACTATTTATTTGTCATCGCACTAGGGAAACATGCCAATCAATCTAGCAGAGTGGTTCCTAATTTCAAATACATTGCTAACATGCATGGAGATGAGGCTGTCGGAAGGGAGTTACTATTGCGTTTGGCTGTTTACATATGTGATGAATACATTTCGGGGAATGATTTTATAGAAAATCTGCTGAGTGGAACAACAATACACATTTTGCCATCAATGAATCCTGATGGTTGGGAAGTTGCTTCGAGAAATGTAATTGGTTTTAAGTTATTGTAATTATTTACATATTTAGAGGGATTCTCAATCACTTGGAAGGTACAACTCCGAAGATGTAGACCTCAATCGAGATTTCCCCGATCTAACAAGTAAATTCTATCATAACTTAAAGTATGGAGGCCCTCTGGACCACATTGATCCCGATGAAAGCGATGTAGAAAAGGTAAGTTTCTGATTTAACTACATTTATACAAATTAAATACCGTGTCCGCGATTCGCTTTCCTACTATAAGCAGTTTTGCTAAAGTATTATCAGTACGAATGAAGGCATTCAGTTTAGCTATTATATTTTAGTCGCGTTGGCAAAGTGGAAACCTTTCTATGAGAGGCATTGCTGACAAAACGTTTAGTAAAGTATCACTTGTTTCATATTACTCTATCAGTACAAGATTCCGTTGGTGCTGAATCCAGCATCCATCACTATATGATGATAGTAGTAGGTTGGTTAATGAGGAATAGTATTCAAATTCAGGATGCTGATCGACTGTTCGTCATACCTCGTGGAGTCTAGGCAAGAAAATAAGCATTGTTATCTCATTTCTGATTAAGATGTCCCCAGATCACCACTTCTCACTGTTTCTGAGGGGTAGAATTACATCAGCTGCAATCAAGAATTCTATTGCTAAACGGTTTTACTCGTTACGAATTTTCAACCGAAACCAAACAAACAACAGATCAGATTTTAAAAGTTTGTCACCAAACTATGATTTGTGGTCTTTCTTCTCTCTTTCTTTAAAATGGAACATGTACATATATGAAATAAAAAGTTGTGTGAGTAACTTGATATGATTATGAGCAATAGTTTGTGCTCGAAACGTCACCAGTTAACATTACTGTATAAAACTGTGTGATTAATCAAAATAAAATCTTATCTACAATGGAGTTGTACTCTACCACAGTGCCCACGTTTTATACTCATATCAATAACTTTTATCGTGGGCCAGTAATCGAATCGCTAACATAAGAGGTTATATTTTTACTCTTAATGGGACGGAAACTAGTTGCGACCAGTAGCCAAACAAATAGACAGAAGGAAGCACTCGCATTCTGTGGAATGTAAACCAAATCAAATCTTAACTTGTATGCTTCCTTCGTATATCATTTAACACTTAGTGAACAAATAGTTATATCTTAAGTTATGACACATATCAGTCCCAAAGTGTAATGCAAAGTAAAGTCATAGCATATATTCAATCCTTTATCAATGTGCACATAATGATGTTTTATTTGTGAAAAATATACTTTAAAACTTCTTTAAAACTATTTTTGTCGACCTTTTTGTACCCTTACTACACGTTCATTCAAACGCCATTTAACTAGCTTGCTTTTACTATAATAACTTCATCAAGTCCTGAATCACTATTTCTGCTTGAACGTCCGTCTGCAAGGGTGTGAGGCTTTGGCTGTCATTATCACCGCACAATTACCCAATATTTATCTTTATTATTATTTTGGCTTTGATTAAGTGTACATTTCTCATCTATCTCGCCATCCCACTAATAAACTACTGCAACTAGTCTGCGTTTAACACTTTTAAGTAGCAGACAATACAGTTTGCTTACATATGTTGTGCTCTGTATTTTCTCAGGTGGATGGACACCCCACAAACTTCTTAAGTTAGCTAAGTGAGATAATGATAATCTAGACGAAGCTGTGGTTGTATAAAATATGTTTAATGTGTCTTCACTTTTGTGGTGGACAATTTGATTTTAAGTAATAAATGGCCGATGATGGCAGCACTCAGTGGAAGTCTACATACTGTTCATTTCTCGTTGATTTTATTTTGTCCTCAGCCTGTGGGAAAAACTGAAGCGAAATTCTTTTGATAACGGTTGCGTATCAAATCGTCATAACCAATTATGAAGCCATAAAATAATTTGTATCAGACAAAGGGTCTTCCTAAATATAGGTACATGATTTTTACAGTTCATTCCCTCCACACTACTACGACCAATAAATGTTTCTGACTGTAATTTAGATTTTGTATGGAGACACTTGCACTACAGTATTGTTTTTACCAAAATGAGACTATCAATATTCATAGATTCGAAAGTAAGGAGTTACACGTTTCATAGATATCCTAAGTGCATAAAATGTTAGAAAGGTCTACGGTTTTAATGCTTAGGTGACCGTTATCTTCATTAATTTGCCACTTTTAGTGATAATTTACTAGCGTCACGAATAAAAAACTACTGGACAGGACAAATTTATTTCAGCATGTAAATGCTGAGCAGGCTTATTGTGGATCAGCTGTAGTTTTAAATTAAATAAGATTCATTGAAGGAAAACGATTCAACTTGCCAATTCTCCGAGAATCACCTGGAAACTATGGGGAATGTTTAAGCTGTAGATTCCGGTTGAAAGTCTCACACCGGTAAAATTCACAAACCGCGACATACTGATAGACTGATAGTGGACATTAGGAACACCCAACGGCTCCATCTGTCAAAATATTTCAAATTTTTACCATCATTACTATTATTATGCCCTGCTAGAAATCACCTAAACTCTATACTTAATAATTTATATGAAATGCGACAGAGTCTAAGGTTTATTCTAATGGAAAAGGGTGAAACGGATGATTGGTTTTGATGGGATAAGTTTTGACGCTAACATTTAAGTTAGTGGAGCTCTGGAAGTGGTCATGACCGTACTATAAACTCACATTCAATTAATGCACATTACTAGGGTATCGGTTGAGGAAACTACTTTGAGTGTTCATTTACTCCTGCTAAACACTTAGAGTATATACATTCTAATGATGATTTAAATAATCTGAAAAATTTAGAACAACACATTTAAGCGAATGATATTGTTTTCAATTAGATCTCATCATTATTAGCTCTAATATACATAATTTTACAAATAAAAATTCAAATATAAACCAATCATGGTATTTTGTCTATAGGATTATACGATGGTGAATATAATCTTATCACATCTTCATTATAAACGTGTTTCATTTACTTCCCTTACAATCTAACATTACTTAATCGGTTCATTTGTTTTTACTAGCCTTTATTGACTACTTCCACCTGAACAGTTGTTTGTTTAATCATGCTGTTTTTTCATTATTCGTGTTATCACAGATTGCCTCACTTTTTCATCCTTATTATTGATAAGACCATTATTATTATTATTATTGTTATATCATTACTACTATTATGACTAATTGCACAATTTATATTCACCATCTTATTATCCTATAGACAAAACACCATGATTGGTTTATATTTGAATTTTTATTTGTAAACTTATGTATATTAGAGTTAAGCCTGATGAGATCTAATTGAAAACAATATTGTTCGCTTAAATGTGTTGTTCTAAATTTCACTATGGGAATATTTAATATATTGAAATCTGACTAATTACAAATGATCAGTCGTTCTGCTCTGTTTTGAAGTCAATACGCATTGCACAACACTCAAATCTTAATGGGTCGCACTTTGGCCTCCGAATTCTAAATGACTCGTCAAAAACGTCAATAGTTTTGCCTGACTCTTTTAAAATCATTTTGACTCTCCCACCGTAGTTGGCTTGCATTGCTGAGAGCCACTAAATGGAGGTAAAATTCTTCACAGCCGTCCAGGATTTTGAAAAATCTCCAATTCCTACCATATAACTATATGAAACATCTTCAAATACCTGTGCCTCACACAATTACATTTCATAAAGCAAGACTGAAATTGCAATTAACCCATTATTAGGCTTTGTTCTAGCTTTTCTGAAGACAGCGTGGCCTCACTTTAGACTGGTACTTTCTGAAGCCTCTAGACATCTGCAAATAACTTGAGCATTAATGTTTTTGCAATTAGCACGTTCATTTATTTCATTACGAACTATCGGTTCTAAGTTTTGATAAGAATCTTAGCCTTTTCTGTCTTGAAGGCATTGAGAAACGAAAAGCAACATACACAACTAATGTTTTACAGACACCACTGATGTGTGCTGACATCGAATTATTTTATAGCAATCCTAAATAGATTAAGCAAATAGCAGTAGTCTGACTGATGATATGTCAGTGATATGCGTCGTGAACACATTCAGTTTGATGGATGTGGACGCAAATTAAACATTTAAGATATGAGAAAATAACCGGTCGATGTGATCACACAACACCTTTTATGAGATGCTTTAACACACTTTCCCAGTCTGCATGAAAGCAATGAAGAAATAATCTATTTCGATGGACTTTATCACAAAAGGTACACTGCAGTTATCCTTTTCTGACAACCATCATGTGTTAAGTTTAGAAGATTGTAATTGTTTTTCATTTTTAATTCGAACAAGATATTATTATTATATTATTGTTCCCTTGGGTTCCTAATGGAACATAGGGTTTCAACTACACGTCTCCACTTGCTTCTGTCTTCTGCTGTACTTTTCACCTGCATCCATGTTAGTCCATACTGTTTCAGTTCCTGTTCACACGATCTCCTCCATGTCACCCTTGGACGTCCCACCCGCCGCTTCCCTTTCGGGTTCCACTCGAGCACTGGCCTGACGCGCGATGTCACCCAGTGGCCTCCTCAGTGAGTGTCCAATCGATCTCCACTTTCTCCTGCATATTTGTTGAGCGATTGGTTCTTGTTTTGTTTGTTCCATAGTTTCTTGTTGGTGATTCTTTCCGGCCATCTGGTCTTCAGTACAGAGCGAACGAAGACAGTTGTTGATAAAGGTCTACAACCTGTTGGAAATATTCTTTGTGACCCGCCAAGTTTCTGATCCGTTTAGAAGAACTGACTGACTTGACGTTTGTATTGAAAATCCGAATTTTGTTGTTGAGTGGTTCTGAGTGACGAGGATTTCTAGATTGGTTTCAGGTTGATGAGTATGTTTCTCGCCTTCCCGATTCTCGATATTGTTAAAAATTATACTTCCAAGATCTCAGCGAATTTGAAATGATCAATTCCAACGTTTCGTTCGGCAACCTGGTCCGACCGAACTTCTCCAGGGGAATTAATGGAAATTAACATGATAGAGGTTTATGTATAAAGGGGGACATCTCTTGTTTTTAAATACTTTGTCCAGTCATTTGAGTCATGAAACAGGTATCAATATGTATAAGAAACAAAAATGTATGAACTGTGATCAAAATTTGACCTTAGACTTTCAAAATTAGTCTACTTTTGTTAAACAATCTAAACAGGGTGTACTTTTCATCAGATTACGCTAAACTAAAAGTTCGTGGTCGGAGATAACTGAATACGAAAATATATGTGTATATGCAGAATACAATGGTGTGTGTGCATGTGTATGGGGAAACAACTGTGAATCATTTGTTAGCCTCTCCATAAGAAGATATAGACAGTAGGGAATTTAGATCAAGCATGATTAATTAGTGATACATATCCACTTTTTATTTAATAATCAGGATTTGCCATGCATCAGCTAACATCACACCTTCACATCTGTTCAAACTGTTGGGATTCACCCATATATGTAAGGCTTCTGCAGTCAGTCTTTCTTTATACGAACCAAAACCTTTCTTAGAACCTTAGTCCTATCAAAGTCGATTTTGTGTCCCGTTTCTATCGAATGCGGTGCAATCGCTGATCCGTTTTGTAGGTTCTTTGAGTCTGCATAGGTCTTTGGAACCACCTTTAGACATTGCTTATGCTCCTTCTCTCTTATATTTACCTGTCTGGAAGTTTCTCCTACATATACAGAATTACAATCCCCACACAGTAAGGTGTCAGTTACTCCAAAATGGACTCTCATTTCAGGATTGTTAAGGATTCGCTTTATCTCATCCGATGTTTCTTTGCGGTAAGGAATCACCGCTGTACTAACCCAGTTCTCGGCAACGGCTTTCGATCCATCATTACCTTCACATTTTAAATATCTATTTATGAAGGCTTTATTGATAATTATTTGATTCAAGGGTGGATTGAACCAATTTTATTTCCTTGCTAATCTCTTCCTCCTCCTCAGTAACTAAACGTTTGGCTCTGTTAATCAGATTCTTGGTCACAGTTACTTTGGTGGTAAAGGGGTGTGCTGAATGGTGTTCTAGGTATCTGTCCGAATTTGTCGGCTTTCTGAAAATGTTTATGAAGGCTTTTTATAAAACGACTACTGAAATATTTCTAACGTTTAGATGCTGTTTTGAAGTTAAACGCAGAATGAGAGATAACAGAATTCAGTTATTCCTAAGTTTAAGTATTCTATTCGGGTTTACATCTACTAAAGAAATTTCACTTCAGTCTTCGTGAGGCACAGATTAAAAATGTACTTTTATGTTAATCGTAGATGGCACCAGTGGAATTTAAGAATAGGAGTTGTCGGATTTTTGGCTTGCATAGTACAGCAGAGAAATGATGTTTATTGTATAGTGGAAAGGAGTTGAAGTGAATTGCTTCACACCTAAACCAATCCTCTTGACGATAGTGACAACATCAAAATAAATGTTGTGTATCTCACTGCATGTGAATATATTACACTGTATAATACCTAACAGTATTTTATTTTTATTCCTTTTTGTTCCCACTGGAACATAGGGCTCTAAGATAGAGGCATGAATTTCCCGTAGCAGTGGTGTTTATTTTTACGGGATGGGGTTGCCAGCCTCATGCCTCATGCCTTCCCTCCTTACCAGTCTTATTACTAGCTTAGCGAAGTAAATGATTGCGTCTGTCGGGGATGGAGTCCCGAATCACCTTCGTGGTTGGCGAGCATTCTACCACTGTGCCACCGATACACATGCCTAACAGCAATACTGATACAGAATTAAGACATTTGATGAAGTGTTTCCGTGGAGGATAGTTTCTTACTGTAATTTACACTTAACTCTTTGAATATGTTAACAATGCCATCGTAGTTAGCCTGAATGGAGGCCTTGGCATTTGTGCATGCTTCACTCATACCTTCCAAAGGACTTGGAAAATTAATGAAACGAGTTGGTATGAAACTGAGTATCGGGTGATTGTTTCTTTCTATCCATCGTGAAAGCATAAGAACCCCTTTTATATCGAAAGCCTTTCGAAATCCATGTATTAATTACTGATTGATTCACTCTTTGCTAATAATTCATTATTCACAACAAAGAAAAAAAGACTGTTTCAAATTGAATAGCTTCCTGTCGGACATCAGTCAGTGGTCCAAACTAAATGGTCTCATGTTGAATCCCTCAAAATGCCAGACTATTGACTTCTCCCTTAGGCATAAACGAGATCTACAAACACTAGTAAGTACTCATGAAGACTGTTGCATTGAGGGGACTAAAGTTGAAACCAAGTCTAATGCAAAATACCTCGGTCTAGTTCTATCTTCAGACCTTACTTGGACATCTCATATCCTAACGATTTCTAAGAAAGTGTTCTGTCTAACCTACTAGATTAAGAAACTAAGACAATCTGGAATCACCCAACCTCTACTTTCACAATTTGTAAACTCTCGTATCTTACCCATTCTACTTTACTGCTCCCCGTTACTCTTTCCTGGACTACTGAAAAAGGACTGTACCTTCCTGAGAAGGATATTGAAGGTAGTTAGTAGAACTAGTGGTGCAAAACTCAATCAGCTCGTCACTACATTAGTTGAAAGGCATCTGAATACATGCGAAAAATGGTCTAAAACCATACTCTCCGACCTCCAACACGCCCTCTATTCCCAACTCTCGCAATTGTATCTCATCAATTAGAACCAGAAATCAGTATAAAATAATCTATGCTCATACAACCAAGTACAGGGACTCAACGATACCATACTTGGTCCGTGCTCTAAGTGACAGAGACAATGTTAAGCGCGAAACCTATGACTTGCTTTGTTGTTAATAATCATAATTTTAGGCTTTTTTATTTCTCTCTTATTCTGTATACTATAGTAAACTCCTTCTTAAACATACTTAGCTGCCTAAATTATTAACATTGGCTTACTTTTTGTACTTTACTCTATTCCTTCTTTTGTGTATCTACTGGTTCCGACTATATTAGCACTATGAGTATCGCAAAAATCGTCCTGCCATTAACCATCATGTAATTATTAGATTTTGTGGTTGTTTTTTCTTATTTTTTATTTTTTTTCCGCAATATTAACTGACAATCATTGGTTGTGAACGTCATTACCATTATCTCAAAATTTTGTATTATTCAGGATTACTTACAGTACCACTACAAACACCGCATTAGACCTGACAATAAAATACCCTGAAATGTTACTTTATGATTGTTTAGTGTTGTTCAATCAAATTATTTTGTGTTTTTCCTGTTTTTTTGCTGTTGGTGTCTTTATATTTATTTTTTTGAAATACTCCTTTTAAATGTTTGGTAAAATTAGATGCAAATATTGTTGATATGTGCTGAAAATTCCACACTGTACCACTAGTACTGTTTCTGGAATAAAGCAAATTATTATTATTATTTCACATCTGCTCAGTTAATACAAATTAATAAAATATTATTCTGCTTTTATGTTAATTTCTAAATACTTTGAAAATCCTTTTTCTTCTTCTTCTTTATTATTATTATTTAAAACTATGATGATTTCAACCTAAGGCTCAGATAGAGACGAAAATGGTCATGGAATGGTTGGAGAACATCAATTTTGTGCTGAGTGCAAATATCCACGGTGGTGATCTTGTTGCAAACTATCCATTCGATGAATCCTTATACAAAAATTCATCTGAATCTACTACACCAGATAATTCTATTTTTGTGTAAGTTAAATTTTATTTATTTAAACTGATTATCGTCAATATCATTGATAGATTTTTATATATAATACGATAAGAAACTAAATTCTAACTAGTTTCACACCTGAAACCTCTCACTTACCTGTAGAGTAATTGATTGTAAAGGTGGAACAGCGTTAGAATGCTTGCCGCTGCTCTATTCCCGGCCACTGACACACTCCTTTACCTCACCAAAATCCAGTAATAAGACTGGCAAAGAGGGAAAGTTGGGCATGAGGCTAGCAACCCCATCCCGTAAAATTAAACACTGCTGCTACCGGAACGTCAAGCCTTTAGCCTTTAGCCCTATTTCCCACTGGGGAACGGACAGGAATAAAATAAAATGAAAAATAGGAAGTGATTATGTATTACATTTCTGTCTGCAATGCGGACCAGTATCCTGGCACCAAGCGTATCATGCACAACCTGATTTTCATTAGTACATTTAGTCTGCAATATAAATTTCTAACTCCATGAATTTTCTTTGCCGGAAATTACAATGGTTATACAAGAATAAAAATGCTGAAACGATAGCAGAGAGTGTTGCGAATTAATGGGTTCACAATGTATGTATTTCTTCCCAGTGCAATCTTACGCACTGTAATTTCGCATGGTTTGACGTAACCTTATAAGCCAATCACGCTTACTACTTCCCGTTGATTTTCTATCGCCGCTCTTCCTACACCAACTTTCCATTTTGCAATGCATAGGAAATGTTGATAGTGATGATGGTGATGATGTGGGCTAGAAATCGTAATCCCTACATTTCGGATCCTCTATTCGTTCGAAATTTGAAGTGTTAATGTCATAATTTCAGCTGGTCCGCAGCTGATGACACCTCGTTTTGTACTTTAGATTTGTCTTATTTTTTCTTTGTTAAAAATGAATTAACAGTTTAGTTGACAACACAAGGTCCTATGCGAAGTTAAGCCTAACTACACTGTGTTGACAGACTTTCTTCTGGCATCTCGTTAAGGCAAGAGACAGTGACATTTTGAAATGCATGCTGACTTGTTCTGAACACTTGATTAAGAGACGCTTTGGTGGGCGGCTTCGTGATTAATATCGGATTATTCATAATGGTGTAGTTCGTCAGTAGTGGGAGAAAGTATATATGGCAATACAAGAACTGGTCACAATTTTGAAACACATATCCCCCCTAATCTGCAAATTGCACAGTTTGACGTCGTAATTCGCCACAGATTCCTTGGAGATTAAAATCATTCACATTACAGAATACGATCTAACCATCAGGTTGCCGTTTCGATCATTTGAAGCCAGGCTCAGAAGCCAAGTGCTTCGATTGGTCCAGCTGATTTTGAACGATCTAAATTTAGTCTAGCTACTTGGGCAAAACTGTCTTCTCTTTGAGTGTATTAGTTTCGAAGGACCAATAAGAGTTTAGGAAACCCATTAGTTGGGCTGCTTGAATGACTTTTAACTCGTTTTCAGTTGGTTTTGACTACATATAATGTTCACAGTTGATGTGTGGGGCTATCAGTCCTGCTAGACCTGAGCACTAACCACACTACCTGTTGACTCTTTAGTCTGGCCTACCTAACCTGTTGGCCAGGCTGCTCTTAACACCGCCCCAACTAACGGAGGGAGAATATAATACTTACGGCTGCTGAAAAATGTATTTAAAGACGATGATTTGAAGACAGTGTACAAGTAGATAGTCACATCACAAAGAAGCTACCGAGCTCTGGTCACTTAAAGATTATACTGACCACCATATGTTTCTGTTCGCACGGATAAACAAATTGTCCGTTGATGGTGGAACGGCTGAGGCTAAAATTTTGAATCAAATCCTCCACAAAACATTCGTTCTAAATATCACAAAGTTCTGCTAGTACCTTTCTTTGTTGTCTTTCACGCACAAGTTTACAATTACCAATAATTTAAGTGTAGAATTCAGGCAACATGGTAAAGTAGAGCTCTACATTACACAGATACATATGATATAACTAGCGGGTAGTTTGTTCGAAGTGCCAGATCAGATGGCCAGAAAAGATCAGCAAAATGGGGTGGTTCCTCAGGGAGCGAACCAACTCAGCAGGAAGCAATGGTGAAACAAATATGCATGGGGAAATGGAGGCGGACTGGCCATACTCTAAGAAAACAAGCCATCAAGTGGTTGACATCGCACGCCAGGCGGTCACTCGAGTGGAGCTCGAATGGGAAGCGGCGAGCTGGTCCTCAGTGCGAGGGTAATATGGGGATGAAGGCTAGATGAAGGAATGTGGGCAGATGTGGAGCTAGGTGAAAACATTGGAGACGTTCAGTTGAAACACTATGTTCTTCTAGAAACTAAAGGAAACAATAATATTAATACTAATAACGGGTACAGATATTAGCAACTGGATGATATTTTTGAGTACAACCGACAGAGTAGAAGTACTAGAGAGTGATATAGTTAGGTGGATATAGAAATCAATCACTGGACCTCTGCTCATCAAATCAACTAAAGTCATCGGGATTAATAATCCTGTGCAATATTTATTTAATAAGCCTATTTAACACAGAATTTTCAATAATGTAACCGAAACTAGTTAGATTTTTATCTGTTTAATAATAGTAAATGTTGTTTGTCATAATTAATTCTAGCGATCTGGCAGCATCCTACGCCGACCAACATTCACGGATGAAAACAGGGAAGAAAAGGTGTTATGATGAAAGTAATAATTTCACAGACGGTATCACCAATGGAGCGAAATGGTATTCATTAGTAGGAGGTAAGATGACAGTTTTATTGCACACTAAATATTCAAAGAAGTGTTCATATTTGAAAGAAAGAAAAAAAATTATTTACTGAAAGGAAAAACTGCAATCCCTTTCACCTGAGTGACTATCAGTTACTGTCTACAGATCCAGCAACAAATGGCGTTTTTACAAGTTCCTACTAGGAAACTTGGCTTGAAGTAAATTACTGGATGGTGACTAGCGGTCGAATCCAGGATGCGTCGTATTTCGTCCTATTTGGGACTAGTTATCATCTGGATGTACCTGCATCCCCCAGTCAATGAGTTATTGTGTCCCCACTGGGGCTGGATTACACAGTACTAATAGTTTTAAACACCAAATCGTTATCCAGTAGACCACTTGGACCACAGTCTAATTTGCACTAAAGGATAACTGATACCCGTTGCACTAGAGGTGACTGTTGTGGCCCAAGTGGTCTAGTGGATAGTGCTTTGGCATTTTAATCTATGGGTACTGAGCTAGAGACTCACTGGAGAACGCAGGTACGTCTGGCTGAATGACGAGTCCCAAATAGGACGAAATGCGCATCCAGAATTTTACTGCAGGTCACCACCCATCAGTAATCAGACACCGTCAAAGCATCTGCAAAAGGAGCCGACATATCAATCTGAGGCGGAGCATTTTGGTCCAATCAATCAACAGGAAAGTTGAAAGTGAATTAAAACACTTGCTTAGTAGTTAACCACTTCAGCCAGTCACTCACTTTGGATAATAATTTTGGATCAGATCAGGTGGGAAGCATGATTAGCTTGATTTTGAAACACTGACTCAATGGTTATTTGCCTGCCTATATGAATGACTAGTCTGGCTTCCAAGTCTTAAAGGGTAACAGATGTCCTAGTCAGAAGAATTGCACACTGGGGCATACTAACTGTTCACTACTCCGTGTAGTTCACTATTTATTTATCTTCCTAACGACTGAAACTGAAATCGATTAATTCCTCGTAAGTCCTTCCAACTAAAATGATGAAAATTCCTGGTTCTCTTCTAAATAGTGCAACTTTGCTTTAGAAAAATCTAATTTCCCATGCCTTTCCCGGTAAATTTACATTGAATATGACAGCTGGAAAATATAAATAAGTCAAAGGACAAATTAAACTGAAGCTAAATAAAAGGACATTGGCTTTGTCTTCAAAGCTTAGATTAGATTAACAGTAATTCGGATCCAGTAAATAATACTGTTTCACTGTGTAATACATCTAATAAACAAACTAATATGGAATTACTTACTACCACAGTGCCCAAGTTTTACACATATAATAATAATAATTATTATTGTATCCTTTAATAATAATATAATAATATAACATATAATAATACGACAATCTAATTCCATGGCACATGAAAACAGAATCACTAAGAAAATTAAAAGTGCTCATCATATCTGGGTAGTTTACAATTAGTCATTAGGCGAAATGATAACAGGTGACCTAAGTGTCATGCGCGTACCAAGAGAAAAATTTCAGGCATAGGAAACAACATCGACAACACCAAGTTTATGGGATCCATTCAAAATAATCTCTTATTGACTAATATAAGATCACCATTTTAAAAAAATTTGATTAAACAGTAATTATAATAATAGTAATTATTATTATCTCTTAAAAATGGTATTTCGGGGAGTATAATTTCGTGATACAGAAATCTAACTAATCAGTCTTGTGAGTAAGCCATGCTATAGTGATTGTAACACTCATTCGTTTCACGGGTTTCGAAGGAGTCTTTTGTTAGGCATGTTGGGTAACGCCGAAACACCCACTTCTATACCAGAAAGCATGAATTTATCATGAATCTTCGTAAATGATTTTGTTTTTCTAATGACATTATGACATACCCTATGATTTGAAATTTCTCTGCTGACATAAAAAATGATCATTAGTGAAAATAAATTTAAGTGATATTCAAGTATTGGTTTGTAGGGATTTGGTTGATTGGTTACAGGATTTCATCATGATCTGACATTGGTTAGAAAACCATTGGAAAACCTGGGAGTACTGGACAGCTGTTTCGTCAGACTCGTTTGGGACTCTTCAGCAGTACGCACTCACCGGAGTTTTTCAGCAAACTATGGGACTAAGGACTGAACTAAAACTTGTTTCTTTACTGTTGCTTATCAGTGAACCTGAGTTCACCTTTTTTCGTCCTGATTTCTCGGTGACAAGGCAGTTTTACCCACGATGATTAGATACAATCGGCAGTCATTGAAAAAGTCGACCAATGAGAGACATTAGGCTGGTGAGCTGTTGAACTCACCTTTTGTGTAACCAGTGTCATCGTTTGCTGTTACCGGTCTGTTGAATTTTCACTGAATCAAATTTAGCGAACGGTACCACTGCCTTGAAATCATGTGTCGGGATAGCCTAACACACTTTACATCATTAGCTGTTAAGAGAGATGTCTGACAAGTGTATGCAATTTTTTATTCTCGTACGTTGCCAATGGAATATAGGGCTTCAAACTAGAGGCTTGAAGTTTCTGTAGCAGTGCTTATTTTGACAGGATGGGTATTTGCTAGCCTCATGCCCAACCTTCCCTCTTTACCAACTTCATTTCTGGCTTAGCGAAGTAAAGGAGTGCTTCGGTGGCCGAGGGTCGAACCCCAGACCATGTGCATAGTCGGCGAGCATCCTAACCGCCGTGCCACCGACGCCTTAATCAGTCGTATCTTTACACTTGATTCTAATATCACTACTTGTGTCACAGGTACAATTTGTTCAACTTGCATACTCGACTAATTCAATCGTTTCAGTTTTACATTTACTGTGAATAGAGAAATACAGCTATCCATATTTCTGTATGACTTAAATCCTACTACAACAGCAGAAGGCAAGACACACAAGCCAAGGTGTATTTTCAAATGCTCAAACTACTATTTATTTATACAACGAATCACTGAGCGTGTGATTTTGGTTTACATTAGACGACATCGTATAGAATGTTTAAACAGATATATCGTATTCTGTTGCTAATGCAGTAGTGGGAATAGTATTCAGACGTTAACCCCAACATATATAATGATTCTTACTGTGTAAGAATAATACTCCGTTGGAACTCATTGTCTGTATCACACCACCACACTACGACTTCTAGTTAAATAAGCAGGAGTAAATCTCAGTTCATAATTTTGTTCCGAAAACGACAATTATGATCTATGAAGTGTAATCCGATAGCTTAAACCAGTTTTATTCGACTAAGAAGGCTATTTCTCAGAAAATACTCCATTTTGGAAGGAAAGTAATGGTACAGGAGTTTCCATATTAGTTTGTTTATTAGATATATCACAACTGTTCATAATCATTTCAATTATAATCACACGACTTCGAAACTTGAATTTTGTAGTTTTCTTTGTCCTCTCCTATTTGTCGTCGCTGGAGCAGTAGAATTTTCTAGATATCTGGGTGGATAGGTGTTGAATCATTCCTATCACACGTATTCTGTCTCAGTTGATTCGATAAACAAAGCTTCTGTTATCAATCTCTCCCTATACCCTGTGACATTAGATTTTAAAACTGTCATCCTATCCCACCCTATTGTATGGTTGTGTGTAATTGCATGTAGTGAGTGGTATAGCTGAACTGTTCTCTAGATTTCTTATCTTATTCGGGTCAACCAATCTAGATTTTGCTAGGTTTTTGTGCTCCGGTAGTCTGACTGCACCTGTTTTACTACTGTGACCCGACAATCATTCCAGCAGGGTATTAGATAAACTAAATTGTTTTGTTTCAAAGTCTCCACAGGATTGTTCCTTAACCGACAAAGCTTGTTTCTAATTGAGTTTGTAGGTAATTGAATGCCAGCCACTTTTATTCCTGGCTTGTTAAGAATTCTGCATCAAGTTTCCGAAGTTCCTTCCTTGTATGGAATTGCTACTGATGATTTAGATTCCTTATTGTTGGTATTGTCTTGCGCATGTTTGATATGCATGTTGTCATCAATATTATTATTATTATTACTATCACTACTATCATTATTTATTTTATTTTTACATTTCCTTACATATTTCCTGACTAATTTATCCGGGTAATTATTAAGTTTCAAAGCTTTTCTTATATTTCTCACCTCCTGTCTTATATTCTTATTCTTTGTGCCCTGCGACTTAAACAGTTCACTAATCCTATTTGTACTGACATAAGATGGGATGATAGGAAATCCAAATATCGGTTTGAATGCGTGGGTTTACTGTAAACACCAGTGTGTGTTTAACTTCCCATCTTCTTTCCTTTTTATCCACTACAATCTAACATTGGAAGCTCCCCTTCCTGACTTTCCAATTCATAAGTGAATTGAACAGGAGTTTGCTTACTGTGGTAAAAATCTAACTGCCTCTTCTGTTTAGCTTTCGCATACCTGGTGTTCTACGCTTTTTGCTATGTATAAATGGAAAAGACAAAAGAAAAAATTAAGCTTACTAAGAGACGTATGGAATTTACTCCAAAGACAGTTGTTATCAGCTCTACAAGATGTAGCTAGATAGATGATTAGCTATTGATAAGATGAGTATGGTTAAACTTTGCTAAGATTATTTATTATACAACATATATGCACTTTCTTTCTTTTTTATCTCTTCTAATTAGATGAACTAGTAGTAGTAGTAGTAGTAGACAGTGAAATAGTCTATTCAAGTATGAAAGCTTAACGTAATATGCAGTTTTCTCCCTCAGATAAGTAAGCTCTCTACAAACAGTATAGATACTTAGTATACTTTACACATAAAGTATCCTGTTCTTTTATTCAGTTTTATGCTTCACATTCCATTAGAAAATTGTTCATATATATATATATATATATATACATAATTAAATATTCAGCTTAATTAACTTAAATAATAGAGCGTTTCGCTTCATTCATCTGTTGAAAACCTTTTGTTAACCTTCGTGTCGCCTACGTGAAAAGTCGGAATAAGTCAGAAAAAATGTAACCAAGGTAATGAATGAATGAATGCACTCACGCACTACGCTAGACAGATAATCAT